CTACTTTACGACTTAATGTTCAACGGTTGAAACATTTGTACTAACAGGAGATTGTTTCTGTAACGATGTCCTTCGCACATTCAACGTTTATGTGCCTTCCAGTATTTGAATCATAACTTCAGTGCGCTTAAAAAGGTTAAGATATGTGGTAAACCGACTTAAACATAAATTTCAAGCGGCCATGTTGATATTTTTCGACACAGCTGACTTTCTTATAAACTGTGTAAGCTGGCTGTTAATCTAATCACAGGCCTGTAACATTCCTTAATTATAAATGCTTTCTGAACTTTAGTCTCTGCATCCTGTTGGGTGAATTATTTATATAGAATAAAAGTAAATCAATATATCACGTGTTGACGACATTTCATTTCATATAAAAGGGTTTGCATGCGTTACTGGTAGGCCTATATCATTTCTAAATTGGTCGATGATTGTGAATAATAAATTTGAAAGACTCTTTCATAAAACAATTTTAAATATTTTCCAGAAGGGACTGAGGAAAATCACAAAAAAACCTCAACCATGGGCTGAGTATGAAAATTAGCATCTTCCGAAACAATACTGATGGGATTAGCATAGTAAATATCTTCTGAGATCTGCCTGGTGGCTATGTTTTATTCCTAATAGGAGGAATTTAAACAAAATGACTTTGAGGAGATCTTCAACGGCACAATCTGCGTAAAAATAGTTCATTCACAAATTTCTGCACTTGAAACACGCCTGATCAAATGTTAAAACGAGGCTTTGTAATTAGAAGACAAGGCCATACAATTGCATAGTACATTCAAGTGTACAGAGCAATTGTTTCTACTCGGAAGACAGTCTTCTTGAGCTGTAGAGTGACTCGGTCTATAGCTGGCCGAGTTGAACGCTCGGCAGTTATTCTAAATCTATTTATAAACTCGTCTCTTCCCATTGGCCAGTGGAGGTTGAGACAGTCAATACATGAAATTCCCACTCTCTAACGTTCCCAGAATATGCAATTACACTGTGCATATGGAAGTTGTAAAAGGAACACTTTCTGCTTGTGACGCATGCGCACACGTTTTTTAACCAAGGTATGAGCGTTTGGGGGGGAAAGAGGGGAAGCCAAAATTAAACTGGTTCCGATCGAAAAGCTTTTTTTGTGTGGATGACTACATTGGTGGCTCTCCGGGAGAATCTGAGCGGCCGTGACCTTGACCCTGACCTTCATCCTACTGACTCTCACAGCGAGTGTGACCTACAAGCAAAAACGAGCGAACGAGGCCTGGGACGACTGCAGAGCCAGGTGATTGAGTGCGGAGAGAACAAGAATCTGCGCAAACGAAATTGAAAGAAATACGAAATGCGGGTTATCTGAATGAAACACAAATGGGCTTAAAAATCTCGATATTTACATTCGTGTGACAACTTAACTTTTCTACTGAATCCCTACAACCAATGGAAATTAATTTCCTCCAAACAGCCTTTAAAAAGTAAAGTTTGTCCCACTATACGCCATTTAGGTGTTTGGGGTGAGTGGAGGTATAGCTCCTCTCTTCCTTGACCTCGGCACTAGATGGGGGTGAGTGGTCAGCATCACGCCCCGGCCGGCTTTACCCCCGGGAAAGGACCCCAGTACCCATTGTAGAGGAGGCTGTGTGGGCCCCAGAGCCGGTCTGGACGCAGAGGCTAGAGGAAAAATCCTCTGCCCCCGTCGGGGATCGAACCCCGGTCGTCCAGCCCGTAGCTAGTCACTATACTGACTGAGCTATCCCGGCTCATCCAAACAGCCTTTACTTTGCTATAAAATACAATAGTTTTGTGTACATTCATAAGGTAAATGCTTCCATTTTAATTATTATTCGGTTATGACGAGCAGAATTATTTCCTCCTGAAAACTTTTTTGGTAACTTATTATTTACTCAGTAAAATAAATCCCATCTTTTATGGACCACGAAGATCCACAGTTACGGTTGCAAAAATTTCAAACATTACTGTTCTTTTATTATTGTAATAGATCAACTAGTTTAGAACATTTACGTCATACACAAAGATTTATCGTGCAACTTTAAAAGCCACATCACGTTATGAACATTAGTTAACTGATATAAAATTGCGAACAGCAATTCAGCTGTTTACACTAATCGTCGTAATAAAATATATGTAAAAGATCTCAATATCACAAGAGTTCTTGATAGTAAATTAACAAAGAAGATAATCCGTGAAAGTTTTATACCTATGGGAATTCCAACCATTTAAGTTTTAACACTGATAAGACAGGGTAATTACAATTTACAAAATCCTTAAGAATTATATCCAAGATTAAGCTATGAGGTCGGATAGCACACACGTTCCTTCTACCCAGCAAAACATTAATCAATTATTTAATAAAAATATTAACCTGTCTATCAAGATCTATTCTAATAAGTAGGTCGTCCCAAGGCTTCCTTGAAAGTTACATTCTTTGTCATGTAGTTTGTTAATTACTGGATAATTTCATCACCCTTCGTATAATGACAAACATCTGAAGATTGACATGGAAATTAAAATGATACGTTTGTGACAATGTGAAGAATTTATTAATAATTTTTCAAAATTTTATTGAAATGTTTTCAAACCCACCTACATTTGGAGCTGCAGGATTATTAAAATATAAAACATCTTGTGATCATTATAGTTTACTTCGGTTAGTCAGTTTAGTTTACTTTCCTGTCTAGTCCCTTACATCCTTATGTTATGTGTTTAACCACATGGGCTTAGAACTCTGGTATTTTGTTAACTATAAATACGAAGACGTTATTGAGATCATCTTGCAGTTGTGATGGCATACGTAACAAGCTAGAATACAACATTATTCATTATGAAATTAACGATTCATATTTGTAGTACATAAGCCATATTATGCATCGATGGATCCGTATTATGGCTATTAATTATAATTAAAAAGAATAACCGAGTATCCATTTAATAATAAAACTGGCAAACTCATCGTTAACAAATTATGTAACCTAGAGACAAACAGAAAAAATGTATTATAACATGGACAGCAAAAATTTATTTGTAACACAATAGAAATATATTTACGTTATGGTTCATATTATGTTGTTGTTGTTTCTTGGCTCTACAACCCAGTTGTGAGTTTTCGCCACCTCCTATTCGGAGGTTTTTTGGTCTTTGAAGTGTGCATTTGTGAGCAGTGAGTGACCAGCTCACTGACTTTGATATATTATAGATGGCTATTTCGTAAGCAAAAACTTTTATCAAAACAAAGTCCTATAATGTGGATCCGGGAAACGCGGACAAGAAAGTTGGCTGCCATGTCCCCTCTCCAGGCTTAATCTTCCAGAAAAGTCATTTCGAAACCTACCTCGTGAGTTATGAAGTACACAAAAAGTTCGAAGTCACTGTATTATGTTTTTGCTGGATTATTCCACGTAATGTAAACGATCAAATTATGTAGTTGCCATCAGTCATCTGATTCTAGAAACATCTCCTTGTCGTATATTTATGCTTCTAATGCACCTAAACAGAATAAACTAACTAATTAACTAACTAACTCCCTGGTAGCAGAACCCGCAGGTCCAACACAGACAACACCAACACACACAGACATCTATCTTGATGTTATCCTGCAATATCATTCTTGGTCTACCCAGTGGTGGTTTTCCAGAAGGATTCCCCACCAAAATCCTGTAGGCACCCCTTCGTCATTAGGTGTGGCCTCACTATAGTGATTACGCGCTCTAGAACCACTGCTTTAATACATTCATCTGATGTTTTGTAAAGATCGGGAGTAATATGTTACAGAAAGGAGATGCTACCCAGCTTAAACTAAAAAATTCTACATCAGTTCGCACTGCTAGAAGTTTTGATTTATTATTCCGTTTTTTCATCGACGCTTTTTAAATTAATTGCTTATGTAACTTGGAATTGTACGTTCGTGTGTGAGTGACGACATGGAAAGGATGTGGAAGGAGTCGGTAGTGGTGTAATTCAACTATACCGGCATGTGCCTGGGGGGGAGTTGAGGAAAATTACGAAAATCTCAGAGGGGATAGACGTCTCCAGGTAAAGTGTTCCCGAAGAGAAAACAGGAGTGTCTTTCAAAAACTGTGAAATTCGGTCACGGTCTTAACGTCCGTGATGATTATGATGATGATAGCCGACATAACCTCCTGATATTACAGATTCAGTGAAGATGTATTTCAGTTCCTGACAGTTGATTAACAAACATAAATAAAATATTATGACGTCCGATATTTGAACACAGACATTTTATTTTAATTTATGTACTTTGGTCGATTTGTAATGTTTCTTTGCAGGAGTAGTATTATGAAAAGAATAAGCGATTCTGGGGGGTTAAACAGACTAGGATCGATGTTTTGAATTTAAGTCAAACTCATTGTCTTTCCGCAGGACTCTCAGATGGTTTACGTGTAACCCTAGCCCGATGCAGCGCGCTTTAGTCTCGAAACACTTGTTGGGTTTCGTAGCTAACACAATTACTCTACGTGTCTGGGAGACAGCCCACTGCTTCCAAGAGGAGTACCGACCTAACGGTTTCGCTAATATCTGATGATCTCAGTTTTACTAAAATATATTAATTACCTTACAAAGTATGAATCAGAATTTCCCATTCTTTACAGAATTCTACGATCTCATAGCTACTAGACGCAATTAAGTCTCCTTATCTGATAAACAATATTACTAAGTCACTACGGTTTATTCTGGGTGGACGTGCCTCATTGCCCAAGGAGACTTCACCACATTTAAATAATCTAAGCATTTTGCAAAACAGCTCAAATTTTTGATTTGAGGTTCTCACGGCAGCGAGTAGGTAAACTTCTACCAGGTCACATTGCAAACAAACCAAAAAAAAACCCATCTTCTACACGAAGGTCATTAGGCATCTGAATCATGAAAAATGTGCCTTATCTTCGCCTGTAAATATTAGATATATATTTTGGGCCTAATATTCCCTCCCTTAAATAGATGCAAGAATAATATAGGACATATATTGTTATTTTTCGCACTGGTTTATTAAAAACTCTTTACAATTAATTATATTATTTGTTACTGCACTTGAAACAACTGAAATTACACTTGGAATAAACTTCCTCTATTAAATACTGTTCTATATTAAATCTTGTCAGTGTGAAATTACACTTAAGTTCCAGTTCTGGTTTTGTAATTTAGAATTTAATAGAAACTTGCAGCTTACTGACATCACTGTTAATGGCCGGAACACTTTCTCACCCCAAGTCAATGCTCTACCGTTACAAACTCTACTAAGAAATTCTTAGTGCATCTTTTAAACCTTAATTTAAAATTGTTCCGTGGAAATAATTTACGAGACAAAGCCGCATTCTACCGGTAATGACTTACCTTCTTATTATGTGGTCATGTATTTTTGTTACAGAGCACAAACAACACGTAAAAATTTCATGAATGGGCTAGAAATAACTGAATTACATCACTGGAAACAAAAGTAAGTCCAGTTTGTATTTCAGAAGTAAATGTTGTAAGACTAAATTTGAAAGAAATCAGACACAGTGCATATGTTCTGATATTCTCATGTAATGTAGATAAAAAAACATAAATATACCAGTAAGATCTTCATAAAATATTATTTATAAGTAAACAATTATATACACGGCTAGGTGCAAACCTTTGTCGTCATATCTGATAAATTAAACGTATTCGGAATCTGTAATAATGAATATGATAGGTATAAATGGTTCACGAACAGTAATCTGTCATTATCCATCGATAAAATACCTACAAGCTAGCTTTAGCACGTAGATTGTAACGCATGAAGGAAAAGCAGGCTTCATTAGTACTTCCAAGAACTTTCCGTTTGGGTTTAAATAGTGAATGTGTTAGAATAGGAATTTGTTCTGACAGATCGCCAATTGTCGTGGTTTTCCTGGTTGGTCATTTCGTGTTTCCTGTAGTTCCCGTGTCTCATTCGCTACCGCTTCCCCTACGCCTCCTCCCTTTCGCCGCCGTGTCAGCGTGGTAATATCGTCCAATGTCACAACAATTTATGTTATTGATAACGTAAAGTGTGTAGCACCGTAACGTCTCGTCCTAGGTAAAACAAAATTCCAGCAATTGAGTTTGGAAACACATTATTTGCAACAAATTTTCCTTCTTTTGAATTCTTCCACATTTTGTAATATAACCTAGCTGTCCTATAGCTCCAAGCTTATGGGACAGTCTATATACATTTTGGAATTACTTTCCTTGTTTGATATGGAATCTGTGTCTAATTTTGCAACACAATAACGAGAGAGTTTTTATACGTTTCCTGTTATGGGCCGACTCACAATGGAACTAGACACGGCTTTACAGGATATTTAAATTATAAAATTATGTAAGTTTATCGATAAACTTTTTAATATTTGATAAAACAGCTCTCTAGTTTTTTTTTTTACATAATTTTCGGTGCGCATTCATATCGATATATTACAACATGTTTACATCGAATGTCGTCTATGACAAATCTACGTGCCGATACGCAGACCACGAAGAAATTCTGTACATTATTAGTGAGCGTAGCTCATGTGTCGACTGATATTAGGATTGGATATATTTCCGATAAAAATCAGACTGCTTCGACTTCGACTAATCTGGTCGATATTTCTGACACTTCTAAATAGAAAGACTTTATGAATTTGGAATTCTGGATCCTTTTAACAAGTCACATATATCAGAAATTCAGACTTCTAATTAAGATAGCCGAGCCCCGTTTCTAAGTGTCTACACATATTTTTAACGAGAACATTGTTAAAAACTGCTAATATCGAGAAATTCGCAAGAATATTTCTGTCACACACAACTAAAGGTTTTAGTGTTTAACACAGGGTTAAAATAATATTATACTTACAAATGAAATGACACTTTTAATTTAGTTGGGTCTGACGGAAATACTATTGTATGTATATTTCGCTTGGACTCACAATAAAATGTTAAAATAAACAAATGATAAATGGGCCTATTGCTACTACCCAACGCCATGATGTATAGTCCATCTTTAGAAGCTTAGATACTCAAGAAATTCCCTGGAATGTATGCAACCCAAAGGTTCTTTACGATGTTCAGAACAGCCGCTCGACCCTATCCTGAGCTTACAACTCTTTTGTTCAAAACGCTCTTCAATATTATCCTCTCATCTATGCCTACGTGTTCCAAATAGTTTTGTACCTTAATGTTTTATGGCAAGAATTTCTCACCTTTCCCAAGCGCGCTACATCAATTTTCCATCTTATGTGCCTTCTCTTGCACAGGCATTTGTAAACGCGTTCTCTCGCCTGTAAACAAAACAGAAAATGCAATATTTTTACAAAGAACAAGGCAATATGTAACGGCCGTTAACAGGGAATTCAGGGCAGAACGCAGTGGCTATGGGAGGAAGAAAGACCGAGAAACAGACGAGGAGAAGACACGAACTGCAGTAGTGGAGACGAACTATCGCTGTTAGTGGCGAACAGAACGGAAGCAGGTCCGTATGGAGAGGGATTACGGAAGCATTACGGCCAAGAAATGACGTCCTGTACTGTCACTAACATCAATTTATACCTCGCTGGTTCCTTTGCTACTGATTTTACTGCGTACCGTACAGCCTACTAACGTTACAAGTTCAGGCAAATAAAAATCTCTTCCTATCATTCGTTTCACTGTAAGCCTCATAGTTTGAGTTGCAGTGCATTGTGGTTATTCTTACTGGCTTCTTTAACATTCAAGACTTAAAGATTTCTGTCTGCTGGGTTCTTGCGCTGTGTAGTCTGGTCGATGTTAACCAACGTTTCAGAGGTCCTACTGCCTCCATCATCAGGGCGATGAAGATTTCTGTCTTCTGCGTTGTTGCGCTGTGTAGTCTGGTCGATGTTAACCAACGTTTCAGAGGTCCTACTGCCTCCATCATCAGGGCGATGAAGATTTCTGTCTTCTGCGTTGTTGCGCTGTGTAGTCTGGTCGATGTTAACCAACGTTTCAGAGGTCCTACTGCCTCCATCATCAGGGCGATGAAGATTTCTGTCTTCTGCGTTGTTGCGCTGTGTAGTCTGGTCGATGTTAACCAACGTTTCAGAGGTCCTACTGCCTCCATCATCAGGGCGATGAAGATTTCTGTCTTCTGCGTTGTTGCGCTGTGTAGTCTGGTCGATGTTAACCAACGTTTCAGAGGTCCTACTGCCTCCATCATCAGGGCGATGAAGATTTCTGTCTTCTGCGTTGTTGCGCTGTGTAGTCTGGTCGATGTTAACCAACGTTTCAGAGATTATACTGCCTCCGTCATCAGGGCGATGAACAAATCTTCATACTAAAAGCTGTGGAAACCTCAAATAATACATTCAAATGAACAAATCTTCATACTAAAAGCTGTGAAAACCTCAAATAATACATTGAAGACTTAGTTTACAATTTAGAGGAAGTACCATTGAGCCTAATCTATTTGAACGTACTGATGATCCCAGGGTATCGTATTTAAATGTTTATTATAGTGAGGTCGACTTGTACTTGAGAAGTTGAGAAATGTTAAATTATGTCCAGATAAAATGTATAATTAATGTATATTATTTCTACTGTGCAAAGAGTAGTTGGCATAAGTCAACTCTTATTACATTTTAAGGAAAACCTCTGCTAAGAGACTCAGTTCTTAGGTCGAGATAGCTGGGTCGAGAACTTCTTATCATAATAGGGGTGTTAAACCGGTCTTATCAGTCAATGCCAACAAGCAACTGTTAACAAAGCAAGATTTTCTTACAGTCCGACTCATCACAAAATTCAACTAAAAAACGTTGACTACGACACTCATGGATCGATGTTTTGAAATTTGGAAGGTTTCCATGTAGGAATTAGGTCATCTAGCAGTTAGGTCTAGCTAGCCCTTCTTGATTAATTGTCTGGGTTATCTAGCTGTGCCACACTTGGTAGTATACGAATGACAACAGATAAATACCAAAACAATTATACTTTGAACTCCTTTTATCAATAATTTGCTTATCGAAAATTTATACTTCTACAAAAAAAAATTCAAGGTCAATATCATCTCGGTACAGTTGCTGGTATCCATGACAACTTTAAACAAGGTCCGAGGTCCACCTGTCTTCGGTGGTCGGGGGGCCTTTGTTCGTTCCCAGACTAAGGGCTCTAAAGATAGTTCTGCAAAAACGATAACGTAATGTGACGTGTTCACTCGTAAAAACCAACCGCGCTGTTGCCTCGACTCGTCAGATAATTTAATTGGCACTTGTAGAATAAACAGCTCGTGAATACTTGCTCAGGGGAGAAGAAACTGCCGATACAAAATTAACAAAAACATGAAGTTCGATGTGAAAAATGACAGTAGAGAAGTAACAACAAGACAGAGACTCGAAAACTGTATCCCAGGCAACACTGGTGTTCGCAAAGAATTTTGCAGATATATGAAGATACATTTCTTTCAAGAGGGACTACAATAGGAAAATCAACATAAAAGCAATTCTCTTGTAAAATCACAAGTCAAGAATGTATCATTTAGCTGTATAAAAGTCAATGATCCTAGAAACAATGATATCTTACATGCGGTTCCAAATTATTCTATCGTATAATTTTCCTCATTCTGTAATAAAATATGTCCGTGTATCTGTGTTCCTTAATAACGTTTGTCCAACTGATGGATATTTTATGAAATTTGCTAAATACGTAACTAGAGGTTACGTCATCTCTGTAATTTCGACGTTTTTCCGGTAAATGGTAGGTATATATTCGGAGGGGGTGCAACATTAGCGCAATTTATTGTCGGATCCTGAAATTTTTGTCTGGAAATACATCTTAAAAAACGCAGTCTTTGTTAATTTACAGTAAGCAGAACTTTTGAAATAAAATGGTGATTGCGCGAAATTTATAGTAACGTTCATGTCAAAAGGCGAAAATAAATTAACTATTGGGATTAGGGATAGTGAAATTTTGTATGAAAGGAGGGCATAAAAGTGTTTAACAAATTCTGCATGCATTACAAGTTTGTATGTTATAAAATATGGACACGAACACGGAGAGAAAATTTGAGGTTATGTCTGACAAATTTTATTTAATGGGAATTTGCACGAGTGACGTTTTATGTATAAATAAACAACGAATTATATTATTAATTATTATTAATTAGTAGTTCAACGTAATCTCTCGGCACATATCAAAGTATTTAAAGAACAGCAAGTAACATTAGCTTCTTTCAGAACTTTTAACTTGAGAATAAAATTCTCATTCGTTTTTAGCTCTTACTTACGGAGATAGGTCTTGGTCGCCATATTTCTTTCCAGACTCGGTAACAATAAAATTATTCTAGCCTGTGATTACGAGTACTTTGGACTCTACCATGGAGCAGTCATTCAGCGACCTACTGTCTTGATAAGTCTAATTCACGAATCGTAATGCTTAGTCAACAAAACTGTATTTATCTTACCACGTGTCCTAACGTAAATATGTTAAAATGATTGAAATACTGGATACTAAGTAGACTCTAAACATCTATAGCGTTTAAGTTTTGAATGTTTCACAATGACTCCCTCCCAAAGGAAACAAATATGTCTGAGAAAATTTTATTGATATTTAGCGTTATTCCTAGCGTTCATGCAATGACACGCTACACGTGAAGAGACTTGTATATCCTTCGTGTCTTAGTTAGGCCACGCCATAGCTCAAGCGGTTAGTCGCCGGCTTCTCACTGCAAGGGTTCAATCCATATGGGATTTGTTATCGACAAAGTGGCATTGAGACAGGTTTTTTTTACTGTAAGTATAACTCCACCGCTGCTCAATATTCACTCATATCACCTGAGGGATGTACAAATGACCCGTTAGAGGCCCCAGTACTTTCACTACGTCCTTGATATATGTGATACTTTCACTTTTGTTTTGAGTTTATGTCAGTAGGTCTAGAAACCAGAAGTGTTGGCAGGACTGTACAAAGCCCATGACTGAACACTTGTTCTTGACTCTTGAGTCTTCCTTATGATACTTGGTGCTAGTTCCACGTCACCTTTTAGAGACACTTCTTAAGTGTTTATTGAACTATGTGGACGCATGAACCAAAACATGCAATTCGATAAAAACTTAGGTCGTGTGTAAAAAGTGACATACATACATTCATACATGACTCAGAGGGTGGACGTGGCTTAGAAGAGGAAAATGTAGAGAGGATGAGTGTTGTCTAAAAACCACAATGGACGAGGAACTAATGTACTATCTGTCATAATTGGAAAGATTTGGATAACCATCCTTCTCAGTACTCCATAGAAAAAGTCTTTGAAAGATGACTCGTTCAAGAATTCAAGAAATTACCTGCCTTCATGGAACCCGAACGTTCATTACAGTGTTCACAAAAGCCTGAATCCCTGTCTTGAACAGATAATTCTAGTTTACACTGTCCCTGAGATCCATTTCAATACAGCCCTCCCATCTACGTCTTTGTCTTCCAAGTGATCTCTTTCATTGAAGTTAAAAAGAATTGTACGCATTTCGTATCTCTTCCATACGTGTCACATCCTCCCTCTCATCCTTCATCTTAATAATGTTTTGTAAACAGTAGAAATTATGAAAGTCCACGACATGCAGCTTATGTTCTGATATTCTTAAATTCCGGCCAGTCCACGAAAAAGAAAATCAGAAAAATTAAGATCAAATTCAAAGAGAACTGTTAAACAAACCACAGGTTTAAACTAATTGAAATACATGCAACATAGACAAAAACTGAAAATATACTGTTTAAAACAGGAAGTTGAAGCAGTCTCATTAAAATATTAAACGGAGCTGTGCTGTAACTTGTTTCTATCCAAAGAAACAGGATCGTATAATGACTGAAGACAATTAATGGTGTCTTAAGCTACTTTATACTATCCTCATTAAGCTTTATTGCATCAACGCAATTTACAACAGCATGGTAAATAAATAAGTAATAATATATAATAAAAAGGCAATGAATGCCAACAGGATCACTTCATAATAAACTTAGAAATTACTTTTTATGACAATAATCGTTTCTCTTCTCACAGAATAAAACGTTTTGAGTCGCGTGTGGGAAATCCAAGTGCCATTCCGGGAATGTTTGCCTCTAACGTGTGTCTGTCGGATCCACCTATCCCCTAGAGACTTATAATGCCCACTGCGGTGACAATGACCGCTTCGCGTACAGGTGCGATCAAACACGTGCAGTTTCTTTATCATTCAGAGATTCCAAGGTCTTCTCATGGCTTCTCATGAGAATACGCACTTGTATTTATCAATAAACTTTAACATATGTGAGATATATCTATCTTAAAAAAATATGCGTTTCA